GAAAAGCTGTAGATTATCTTTTATTTTTGTAATTCTACAAGACTCTGTTGTTAAATGTAGTTGATTTGACTTTCAGTATGCACTTTCAGTACAAGACTTTGATTCACATTTTTCAGACAGTACTTTATTTGATTGGTCAGCTGATCCATGTTGTTTGCCTTCCACTCTTTTTCTTAAATGGCTTCATTGAGAATTGTTAAAAAATCTCCAACTGACCAAACTTCTGACACATTTACAGGGTTGACCTCTTTCTTGACAAAGGTGATGTTTTCTTGTTGCGGTACGGTGATTCAGTATGGTTTTGGCACAGTGGGATCTTGCTCGTCTGGCCAGAAGACATGTTCTGCTTGAGAATAGTTCTTTTGAATGTAAGGAATTGAGCAACATCATTTATGTTCATTTAAATATTGCTGAGCATAGCTAGCAAAGCTTGTTTTTTGTTTAGGGCTTAACTCAATCCTTTTGGTCTCATTGCAATTCAAACTAAAACTTTGCCCTCAAATTTTATATTCTTGGAAAACTTCACATTGGCAAATGTAGACGAGATATCACTGGTACAAGTATAGAATCCACCATTATCATTGATCATTGAGTTTGAAAGGGTGAAGTAAGATTCATCATCCAAAATAAACTTTACAGAGAATTTCTGCACTTCATGTTTGCCAATGATCTTTTCTGTCTGGAATTATCTGCTTCTTTTGATATTTAATCTATTTTTTTGTTTTTGAAGATTTGTGGAGTGAACTACTAAATTTTCAGTTTTAGGACTAAATATTAAATTGGAACCTTGTTAGTGTCTTCAAAGGACCTCTTCAATTCTTTCTACTTGGCTTTCTTCAGAATTTTCACTTTCCTACCAGATACTGTTCTTCTGTGTGGTAATCCACTCTCAATATTGTCTCTTATTACATCTATTTTTCATCAGTATATCGCTATTAACCTACTTTGCGTTGAATTTTCGTTGATGTTAAGCCTAACAAAAATTTTTTAAAATAATAATCGTCGCTATTGTATCGTTAAAAATTATTTTTAAATTATTTTATTGCTCATGAAACAAACAATCACTCATAATTAGAAAGTCTCATTTAAATACTGGCCTCCCTTCAATGGTCGAGCCATTGATGCCAGCTAAAACACGCAAAAATTTAACAAAAATAATATCAAAGTAGCCAAGACAGCCAAATATTGTAGCGCCACATCACTAGCGGACATTTGAAATTTGCCGACTAGGACGGTCGGTTAACCGAGGTGTTGGTTAATCGGGGGTCGGACAATTGGGGCTCTAATGTAATAAAGAACTTTCAATGTAAAGACACTGTTTTACCTTTTTACCAATGATTTCTTATCTATCCCTATTTCATGCATAGTAGTAGTACTCAGAATCTACTAACTGGACACTATATCTGGGACTTCCTTTGTGTACATAAAACATCATATGAGTGTAAACAGAAGTACTGACTGATGCACTCACTGCTGAACCAGATAGCAGGATTCAATTTTTTGGAGTAACCAACAAAATATTAATTGCTTCTCTAGGATTTACTCAGCTTTCATTGTAATGAATACAGTATATCTTTTCCTCTTTTTATGTGATCCATTTTTATGTGATTTTGAAGTAATGCAGTTGACAAAAGAAAACACTAATCTTTTTTTTACATGGCCAATTTTTTACACAGAGGAAATCAGTTTATTTGAAAATTTTCAAATTTAACTTTTTGTTAAAATTGTGTTATTGTTAGTAAAGTTACTTTTTTATTGAAATCAAGAGTTAATTAATTTTTTTTAAGCACAGTACAGTACTTTATGTACATCATAGAATACTTTGTTTATTTTATGTTTCCTATTCTACCTTCTGTTTACTATATTTATGTACAAATTATAATAAATGATGATAGAATAAAAATGTTCATGTTTCTTTTGTAAATTGCTTAATTTTTCCTTTTATTGAAGTTGTGGATTCTATCAAGCAATTTTCTACAGTGTGTATGTACTGTACATTTTTACGTGATTTTTTTACACAGTATTTTTGGAATGTATCCGCCATGCAAAAAGTGTGATATGTGTAGCAGTAAAAAACAATTGAAAGGTGATGCAACAGTGACAGCTAGCAAGACTTTGGATAGCTGATACCAATAAAGTATTGGTATCAGCTGGCCAGTATTGATATTTTTGTAGTATTGGAACATTCCTAATTACAAATCATAAGTGAGAGTATCCTATAGATTAAAAAAATCAATCAAAGTGTAGGTTTTTATTTTTGCCCTGTAGGCACTAAGAGGCCCTAAAAGGTTCTCTTAGTACCTATAGGGCAAAAATAAAAAAACCTACACTTTGCTTGAGTTTTTAATCTGGCAAGCCAATGTAGGTTTGGCCAGGCCCACTATAGGGTAGCTGTTGGAAAGGGCTCAATATATATGGGATGAACTGTCCTCCAAAAAAACTCCTGGAATTTTTCAACTTGTCTGGATTCATTTCCAAGTCCCATAGTTGTAGTCTGACACCTTAACTACTCGGACATCCAGCTGTTGCAGTGTATGTTATTATTGAGCTCTTATTCATAGATTATGAAATTTAATAATCAACTTATTTTTCTAAAAAATTTATAATCTTGCATACTGTAAAATAAAAAGCTGTTTACATTTAGGGCAGTAAATATAAATGACTCATAGAGGTAATTGAACTTATTTTGTCTATAAATTTATTAGAATTTAAAAGCTCATACAAGTAAAAAATGTCTTTAACAAAATTACAAAACAATGCAAATTATTTCATTTATTCTCTATATTTCAAATAAATACCTATTTATTTCATTTTATTTCAATATAGATTGATGAAGAAGTTTCCAAATTGTTAGAATTGAAAGCCTGTTTGAATGAAGAAGGCCAACAAAAGTTTACTCTTAAGACACCAAAGGTATCAGTTTAATAATTTCTAATAAAAAAAGCAAATAAATATAATAAAAATAAAACAATTTTTAATAATAAGTAAATTAACTAAATTAAATTTATTTTTACTTTCCCAGCTGTTATATATAACAGAGGGAAAGTATGGAGATTGGTCAAAAAGTGACCCCCCAAGATTTTTAGATTTTTCGACTTGAGACATCTAGAAACATTGAGAAATGCAAAAATAATTTGATGGTATTTCTGCCCATGTATGGTTGTGTGTGAGGGGCACAATTTTGTTTGCCCTCTTTGAAGCTTAATAAGCTCTCATGCTTTTTGTCAAAAATTTCTGAAATATTGCAAGGAGGTTTGTTTATTAAGGGAATTGGTGCCATTAAATTTTGATGATTAAAGATCATGGGGGTGGAGAGATAATGGGGATTGTGTGTATCTCAAGTAGGGTTGGATGTAATGACAATTTTACTTATTACTAGCATTTACAACTTTTATAAAACTTATCCCTATCTTCAAAATTAAGCTTTTTGCCATTTTATATTAATAAAAAATATAAAAAGGTTTTTAATAAAATATGATAACAGATGGCGCCACTAAAATTTTAAATGTTACCAGGAAAGTTGAGCAACTCATTACTGGTTTATTTTATTGGAAATCATTACTTACATTAATTTATACTTTAATAATTGATAATGTTTAAAATTAGCTTGAATTTAATTGATCATTATTATTTATTTATTGAAAATAGAAATTTTATTTTATATGTGATATAAGTTATTAGTTACAAATGAAAAGCATTTTATAAGTTTTAAGAAGATTTTTAATGAAATTTAATTCAGAAATTGTACAGATTAAATTCAAATTTGTAGACAACCATAGTTTGTTTTGGTTTTCTCAAACACAAATTAAAGTTAAATTTACTCAAAATATACTGCAAATAAAAAAATAAAAATGATTTAAATAAACTAATAGTTGAATAAAAAAAATTTTTCCCTAACATGAATTCAGTGTTTATTGTTCACTGCAAATAAAAAGTACAGTGGTACCTCGGTATATGTCTGCTTTAGAATACATCCAATTTGGAATACATCTGCTTTAGAATATGTCCAATTCGGAACATCCTGTTTGGATGAAACAAATGTTGTTTGGTATATGACTTAATTCAATTATACGTGCCATCTATGAACAAGTAGCACTATCGGTGTATTAGACTAGACTAGACATTCGTGGTGCCACGGTTTATAACTTTGTTAAATTTCTTCTGATTTTAATTTGTAAGTAAAATTTTATTANCTAGAGGTAGGCATTAGGTGCTATCTCATAATAAATTTAATAATTATAATTTTAATTAAAATAATTTAGATTAAACTGGAAGAAAAGAATCTGCTCAGAGTGGGACTTGAACTCACAACTGCCACTTACCATGTGGATATGTTGCCAATTACACTACCCGGACCCCTGATCCGATTGTGTCTTCCATTATGCTATAACCATCATTGGTTACTATGGTGCCGGCTGGGGACACACCAAGTGCCCTTGTCCTGTTATTGTTTGGTAATTCATTAATAATATAGCTGTCATATAGTCCAATGGCATATAGCAGTGGTTGGCTTTATGATTATTTTAATATTTTTAATACAGTAATACCTTGACTTATGCTACCCCAACTTATGCAAACCCGGAGTTACGCGATTTTCAAATCTCATTGATTCGTCTTTTCTTTGAGCATCACACACTCTTGATTACTCACTCTCCCCCACACTATTGTTCGGCTTACATGTTCAGAAGTGTCGCGCGGAATTGACACATAGCTACAATTTATTTTGTGGTATTTATTTCTGTGTTTGTTATATCTACGGAGACTCGAGAGACTCTATGTGGTGATTTCTTGTAACCGTGAATGAATCGAAAGATGAGATAAGATTAACGAGAACATTTATTAGCTTACATACATCCGACTTGGATTTTACACACACAGAGAAATTATACCCCGACTTACGCGGTTATCACTCGGTCCCACCTATTGCGTAAGTTTGGGGTATTACAGTATACTGAAATTTTTCATATCAATATTAATGTATAAATTAATATATAAATACTACAAATATTCATAAAACATATACTTGATCAATTATATAAACAGATTTTTTGTGCATAAACTAGTGCTTATAAATCACTATAATTTAAAGTAAATAATATGTCATAACAAAGATTTTAAATTCATACAATTATACAACATACTTATGACACAATACAGCTTGATCTTCATGCTAAATATCAGATAAAAGGAAGGAAAACTCACTAAGCATGTCATTAATAGTTTTTTAAAACATATACTTGATCAATTATATAAACAGATTTTTTGTGCATAAACTAGTGCTTATAAATCACTATAATTTAAAGTAAATAATATGTCATAACAAAGATTTTAAATTCATACAATTATACAACATACTTATGACACAATACAGCTTGATCTTCATGCTAAATATCAGATAAAAGGAAGGAAAACTCACTAAGCATGTCATTAATAGTTTTTTANTATAAATCACTATAATTTAAAGTAAATAATATGTCATAACAAAGATTTTAAATTCATACAATTATACAACATACTTATGACACAATACAGCTTGATCTTCATGCTAAATATCAGATAAAAGGAAGGAAAACTCACTAAGCATGTCATTAATAGTTTTTTATTATCACTAGTGCTTTCAATGAACTTATGTTCATCATCATCATCAGGCAAACAAGAATTTGAAAATAGAATGCAATGTTCTAATGTAAGTGGAGAACATATTATTTAAATTAAAATTAAAAATCATTATGAGCATGCTACAAACTTCGATTACGCTAGATGTTGTGACATCATGCCGTGCATGCATTGATATAGACCCACATTAGAGGTGTGATGGCAGCCGTATATCACTATTTAATCGTTTATATAGGGCAACCTATATGTTGGGCAGGTCAAGCATGGGCATATTGCATGATTCCAAGGTTGCTGTAAGGAGATATTCCCATATAAACACGAGTTTCTGGTTGCTGCAGCATCTGAGTAGCATTGTTTGAACCCATAACAGGGCTGTAGTTCTGTTCAAGCACCTTTTTTGCAAGCTCCTGGTGTCATTTTGTTTATTTTATTGTTCAGTGTTGCTGCTCCTAATTGCCAAACTATTCATCTAAAAGTTTTTAAAAAGTAAACAAGAAATCATCTAACAGACTCACATCAAAACTAATTTAAAACTAGGAGTGACTAATGTTCAACCAAATATTTCTGATATACAGTGGAACCTCGGTATGCGACCTTAATCCGTTCCTGGTGTTTGGACTTATACCGAATAGGACGTATACCAAACCAACTTTTTCCATAAGAAGTAATGTAAAAATGATTAATCCGTTCTCATGTAAAAAAAAATGGCTGGCTTTAAACACCTCGCTTTTCTCGCTAGTTCCTGCTTGATTTTTCATGAGATCAGCATGTATCCCTTTAGCTTTCTCGCAAATAATTTCTTCCGATACGCTGTCGCCAGCGCACTGCTTTTCAGATATCCAAAGTAAAAGCAATTTCTCAACACGATCTAATGTCTTCGATCTATGTTTAGAAATAATAACAACTCAAAGCCTGAATAGTATATAATAAATTACCCAACGATCGCCTAAATATTGGGCTATAATTAAATGATTGGAATAAAGTAATTTGACATCGGGCCAGTTCTTTTATTCCAGAAGGTTCTAAAATTTATTTTATTTATTTATTTGATTTTAATTATTAATTTACTTAAGAGATGGCGCCTAACGCCTACCTCTAATTCAAATTACTTTATTCCAATCATTTAATTATAGCCCGATATTTATGCAATCGTTGGGCAATTTACTGTTTAGAAATTGATTTAACCCCTTTCGCAACGTTAGCAAATTTAATAATGTCTTTATTTTTCACGATTGTCGATATCGTCGTTCTCGGAATACGGTATGCAACAGTTAAATCTCGTTAAATTTCGGACACGCGTGCCACCTTCATATTTCTCAACAATCTCTTTTTTCAGTTCCGTTGTGATTATAGTCATTTTTTTATTTTTCTGTTGCCCTTTTGCAATTCATGATTAATAAAAATAATAAAATGTTACTTACAAATTAAAATCAGAAGAAATTTAAGAAAGTTATAAACCGTAGAACCGCGAACATCTAGTCTAGTGTAGTACTGTACATCGATAGTTCTACTTGTTCATAGATGGCGCGTTTAATTGAATTAAGTCATATACCGAAGAAAAGTCGTATACCGAGCAAAATTTGTTTCGTCCAAACAAGACGTATTCCGAATTTGACGTATTCTAAAGCAGATGTATACCGAGGTTCCACTGTATTATGTTTACATCAGTGACAGAAGTCAAATTAAGTATACTTATGTTAATTAATTTGTAACCTTATATGAATAAATAATTGTGGTTTACTTGCTCTTTTTCTCTTGTATGCAGCCTGTGTTAGTTCAAAAGTTTAAATGTGGTTCTTACATAGAAAAAGGTTGCCCATTCCTGCTTTAAAGTATTTTAATTATTACCTGAAATGAAAAATTAATTTTGTTATTAAGTGTTAAAGAATCATTTTAAGAATTAGAAATCATGATAAATTTCTCTTAATTCTGATACTGATTCCAATTTATCATCCTGTAATTAGAATTTTTAGAAGAGAAATAATTTTGTTTATAAAATAATAGCTATGAGGATCATTCAAAAAGAAACGAGCCAGAGACTGGAATGTGAAAACCGATGACAGAATTGTAATATTGTTGTGTGTGTAAGAATGTGTGGTTCTGACAACAGCACAGATCACAGCCCACTAGAGGGTCATGGGTGCATACCACGTGACTACAAGGCTAGCAGAAGCATGTGCCAATTGTCCACCGCGGTCAGGCGTGTTGTAAACAGTGAAACAGTGAAATCGATATAAAGGTTAATGACTCCTTCAACCAGCTGGACAATGTCATCGGTAATGTGGTGTGTTCCTGATCGTGCATCATCGGCTAATGACATCCGCTCTTCCCTGAAGTGCTTGTGCCATGTCTTGACCCTTGCAAGGGACATGCAGTGTTCACCATACACTTGTGGCATTCTTCAATGAATGTCCATTCCCCCCTACTCCTTCCACTGTCAGAAAATGAACAACACCTCTTTGCTCTTCTTTTGATGCCTCCATTTCACTGTTTCACTGTTTACAACATGACTGACCGCAGTGGACGATTGATGCGTGCTTCTGCTAGCTTTGTAGTCACGTGGTATCCTCCAGCGGCGGGCTGGGATCTTTCGTGCTGTTGTTGGAACCACACATTTTTACACACACAACGATATTACAATTCTGTCATCGGTTTTCACATTCCAGCCTCTGGCTCATTTCTTTTTGAATGATCCTTATGTAATATCAAAAGCGGTCAGGAACTAAATAAATAATTTTAAAAAACAAATGTTTTCAGCCTAGTTAATAGGCCATCATCAGGTCGAAAAAATGGAACGTAAATGTTCCATGAATACGTTCCATTTTTTCGACCTGAAGATGGCCTATTAACTAGGCTGAAAACATTTGTTTTTTAAAATTATTTATTTAGTTCCTGACCGCTTTTGATATTACATAAGGATCATTCAAAAAGAAACGAGCCAGAGGCTGGAATGTGAAAACCGATGACAGAATTGTAATATCGTTGTGTGTGTAAAAATGTGTGGTTCCAACAACAGCACGAAAGATCTGAGTTGATTTAGTTGCTGAGCGCTTTTGATATTGTTGTTATGGCGGCACCGGTGGAGAATTACAAGATGGTGCAAGCGCAAGGCTCTAAGGTTAAATGGGATGAGGCNTAAATACCTATTTATTTCATTTTATTTCAATATAGATTGATGAAGAAGTTTCCAAATTGTTAGAATTGAAAGCCTGTTTGAATGAAGAAGGCCAACAAAAGTTTACTCTTAAGACACCAAAGGTATCAGTTTAATAATTTCTAATAAAAAAAGCAAATAAATATAATAAAAATAAAACAATTTTTAATAATAAGTAAATTAACTAAATTAAATTTATTTTTACTTTCCCAGCTGTTATATATAACAGAGGGGATTGGTCAAAAAGTGACCCCCCAAGATTTTTAGATTTTTCGACTTGAGACATCTAGAAACATTGAGAAATGCAAAAATAATTTGATGGTATTTCTTCACATGTATGGTTGTGTGTGAGGGGCACAATTTTGTTTGCCCTCTTTGAAGCTTAATAAGCTCTCGTGCTTTTTGTCAAAAATTTCTGAAATATTGCAAGGAGATTTGTTTATTAAGGGGATTGGTGCCATTAAATTTTGACAATTAAAGATCAAGGGGATGGGGAGATAATGGGGATTGTGTGTATCTCAAGTAGGGTTGGATGTAATGACAATTTTACTCATTACTAGCATTTACAATTTTTTATAAAACCCATCCCTATCTTCAAAATTAAGCTTTTTGCCATTTTATATTACTTAAAAATATAAAAAGGTTTTTAATAAAATATGATAACAGATGACACCACTAAAATTTTAAATGTTACCAGGAAAGTTGAGAAACTCATTACTGGTTTATTTTATTGGGAATCATTACTTACATTAATTTATACTTTAATAATTGGTAATGTTTAAAATTAGCTTGAATTTAATTGATCATTATTATTTATTTATTGAAAATAGAAATTTTATTTTATATGTGATAAAAGTTATTAGTTATAATGAAAAGCATTTTATAAGTTTTAAGATTTTTAATGAAATTTAATTCAGAAATTGTACAGATTAAATTCAAATTTGTAGACAACCATAGTTTGTTTTGGTTTTCTCAAACATAAATTAAAGTTAAATTTACTCAAAATATACTGTAAATAAATAAATAAAAATGATTTAAATAAACTAGTAGTTGAATAAAAAAATTTTTCCCTAACATGAATTCAGTGTTTATTGTTCACTGCAAATAAAAAGTAGTGGTACCTTGGTATACGTCCAATTCGGAATATGTCCTGTTTGGACGAAACAAATTTTGTTTGGTATACGACTTAATTCAATTATANTTTTTTTCAGTTTTAAGTATTTTTTATGTTTAATTACATTTATATCAAAAATTGCTAGGAACTAAAGCAATTAAGGTAGGTCTAGCTGTCCTTTACATCCATAAATGTTATATGTCAGTGGAACAAATGGAGTGAGCTTTGAGTGTTCCACGATTTTTGGAGACTGTCTATACGCCGGCTTCCTAAACAAGCCTATATGTATGTTTGTCCAAGAAATTTTTGGATGAAATACAAACCGCACAACTTCAAAATCGCATAAAAATAATCTGCATAAAAAGAGACCTTACAGTATTTGGTTAAGAAATGTACTAGAAACTTCGACCAGAATTAATCCATTGAAGATTTATGTTATTTTTGTTTTAATATTTTTTAATATATTCTTCCGTTATTTTTTTCTCTTGTAAAATTTTTGATTTAAGAAATTTTTATGTTCTATTCATGGAACATTTACGTTCCATTTTTTTTACCTGAAGATGGCCTATTAACTAGGCTGAAAACGTTTGTTTTTTAAAATTATATTTATTTCTCGGCAAAAAAGGTGTTTTGTTTCTATTGATCCTTATGTATTTGATCATACATCTCAATTACATCAATATAAAATAAAAAAACACATTAGTTGATTTTTTACAATGCTGTGGAGTAAGTACACAAAAGCTTTCACTCTAACTCCTTAGTTTATGTATCTGCAACTCTGACTCCTTGATATATATATCAATATAAGAAAGAAATAATAAATATAATAATTATATACTTTTTATATTGACTGAAAGCATGCAACATACAAGTTATTTTATCATTGGGCTGCAATTTGAAAAAATTGTAGACCTATAAATTCCCACTGTTGTCTGTCCATCTTTCCTTAATTAAATTAATTTAATCTTGAGAATGGAGTTAGATAGATGAAATTTGAGACCAGATTTGGAAACCTTAGAGGTAGGAGGCCCCAATTAACTATATATGAACTTCTGATGCAAACTTGAAGTCACATTATTTCAATTCAAAACTTCCTCTGAAAACAGTTAATAGATGACAGGCACAACTATTGTTAAAAATTGTTAAAGGAAAAGTATGATGTCCCTGTTAGGGCAAGACACTACAGTACTAATTTGAGATGGAGAACATATATGTTAAATTAAATAAATTAAAAATATGATTGAAAATTTCAGCTTGGCATTGTGATGTCACAATAAATAATTGCTTGTTGTTAATGTGAATCATCAGACTAGTTTTTAGAACCATAACCTATTAAAATTTGAGTCGAAATGCTATAGATATGTCATTGTGGCATTTTTAATTTTTGTATTAAAGAAATTACAAATATTCAGTAATCTTAAAGCTTAAAGAAAGGACAAAACTTAGAAAATAAAAATGATTATATAATTTTATTAAAACAGTTTAAAGTAATACATTGTAACTGAAAGATATGTAATGTTTTTATTTTTATAATATACTTGGATTAAAAATTTAATTTTTCTTTTGTAGGGAACAAGAGATTTTGCTCCTCAGCAAATGTCAATAAGAGAAATTGTTATTCAGAAAGTAGTTGAATGCTTTAAAAGACATGGAGCTGAAACCATAGACACACCAGTTTTTGAATTAAAAGTAAATTTTTAAGATTTTTATTTGAAAAAATAATTTAATAAGAAAGTACAATTATAATATTAATAATGTATTTAATTATAAATAAAAATGGAAAATAATTATATAAATTACATTAATTTTTCAGTAGAAATAACTTTTATATAATCAATAGTGTAATTACAACTGTAAGCATTTATGGTACATTACTAANAGAAGCAGTTGCCCAGGGACTTGCTATATTAGGGGCCTGAACTTGGCAACTCAATATGTTAGACAAAAATATAGGAGAAGGAAAAGTGATTTGCTAAATTTTAACATTTATAAAATTAAATTCTAAATTTCTGTAGGAAGGGAAAAGCTTCTGTAAAATAATTAAATGTAATAATCCGAAAAATATTAAATAACCATTGACATTATTTTCTTGTCCACAATTTTATTTTAAATTTTGAAGGGCCTTTAAAATATTAATTGCCATGGGCTTTGCATTTTCTTTGAAAGGCCCTGCACCCAGATAAAATTGCCTAATTAGTGCAAATTTCAGCATATAGTTATCTCAGACAGGTATGTAAATGATTACAGTTGATATCCTATTATATACCAGGTAATGGCACTAGAGTGCTTTAAAATAACTCCCTGTCTTATATAAATGCTTGCAAAAGCTCACCATGTTCAAAATTTTCAGTGTAATTTTTATACAGAGATCTTCAAATGCTAGGCATGCTTGTATAGTCAAAAACATTATGTGCAGCTGACAAAGTTTAAGAAAGGCCACATCATTGGGCTAAAGAAAACAGAAGGCTATTTTGTCACATTGCCCATGATGGGCAGTTTGACAAAATGGGCATTGAATTGTCTACCATGGTTATTCTGACCTGACTGTGAAGAGCAGTTGTGGAAATGGATACTGAGAAACTGCCTGACACATACATGTCAGGCAGTTTCCAAATATTCCCAGACAGATCGTTAGGAGAGTTGGTTGTCTGATTATGAGACAAGCATAAACAACAGCAACAGTTAGTATTTGTCCACTATCTAGATACATGAAAGCCTTATTATGGAATCCTGTTTCTTTTCATAACATTAGCAGGCAACTAGCAGAGACAAATTTAAGTGCATGGTACTGCTATGCAATCTGCCATTATCATCCCATCATTATCAGCTTTGCAGTAGTACTGTTGCAGAAAAGCATGAAATGCTACAGACTGATAGCATATCATCATTAGTGATGAAATGTGATGAATCACAATTCTGTTTGACATTCCCAAACACCATAATCCTCAAAACATGATGATGAGTGGAGACCAAAACACTAACATATCATGTTAGTGTTTTGGTCTCCACTCATCACAATTGGTCCCCACTCATCATGAAATTTAACAAGATCAGAACCCAGATTGCGGTTCTGATGAGTCAACACCAACTGACAATTCAATCCCCATCGAAGATGTGTGATTTTAGGACTTACATTATTCTATTGTCTTAATTTGAGAAGTATGCTTTTCTAAGAATTTTCTTCAAATGTGTTTGTTTAGGGACAGGAATTTTTTTTTTTTTTTAATCAATTTTACAAAATATAATTATTACTATTTGAGGATTACTGATAATTGCTTCAATCCTCCCTTTAGTATTGAGTCACACACCACTCCTATTGCTGATATACTGGTCTGAGGAGCCATCTTATAGTCAATCTCTCCTACAAAGGACAAAGGACATTGATGGAATAGTGGTACATTCAGGAAATTTTGCTCCCTCATATTTCCTTTCAAAGCAGAACTGATGCATTGAAACAGTTATTTTCCAGCAAGATAATGCTTGGCTGGACACAGCTGCATATTGCATGGCTCCAGATTTGTCATACAAAGAGCATTTGTGAGACCAGATGGAATGTCAGCTTTGGCTTCTAAGAGTATGAGGGATCTTGGAATAGCAGTTGCAACATTTGTGGATAAATCACTCACAGGATAGTATATAATTATATAATGCCTGTATGTCTCTATGCCCAACTATTGCATATATCTAGGCTAAAGAGATCCTGTAAGCAGGGATGGATCTAGTTCTTTTGGGGCCTAGGGCTTATGGGGCCCCATTTTTGTTAGATTAAGAACTATTACAATAAAACAAATAATGCTATAAATTATCAATATTATTATATTATTAATATTAACTATTTTTTACTTTACGATAAGTACGCATTGTTAATGAAAAAGTATTAAAAATTTATGTATAAAAGTATAAAAAATTTATTTAATTTTTGTGGGCCCTTGACACTTGGGGCCCAGGGCTTAAGCCCTATTAGTCCCTATGTAGATCCGCC